ATTTGTTCAGGGTTTGGCAATTTGTGCTTATCGCTCAGTTTTATTTGCTTATCCCTATATAATTTATCGAATATAAGGTCAGCTTTGGTTACATCGAACGAGAACGTTCTAGCCTTTATGTTTCCATCCTTTATGGGCTCATCTTTGCCCGATGGTCTAGGCTTGGCCATTATGGGACAAGTATATGTATCCCCTTTTACCAATTCGACCAAACACATTTCGGCCTGATCGTATGATTCGTCATCGATGGTATGAACGTCAAAATTTGGGTCTCTGTAATAAGTCTCTTTACTAGAATTTTTCATTTGTTCTTCTTCTCTTATCAGTCGCTCATACCTAATCACATTCGCACTCAACTGAAAAAGGTCGGGAAATCCCTTGTCCTAGAACTTCTTTTTTAAATCAAAGCTCAAGCAGCCTTGTGCGATCTTGACAAATTCTTTTTCGGGCAGAGGTACAAAACACTTGCTTCTTGCTGTTTTGAACCTTTGGAGAAAACTTTCTGCCCATTCATTTGGCATTTGACGTAGATTCGCCAAATCAGCCAAAGTGACTTCAGATTCAGTTTTATAAAATTGAGCATGAAACAACTATTTCAGTTGTTGCTATGTTTGAACAGAGTTCGCTGGCAAGTTGATGAACCAGGAGAAAGCTACTCCTGTTAACGAACTAGGAAAAAGTCTCATTTTATGGTAATCGGTTACATCACCACTTTGCAACGTGAATCGCCCTATGTGTTCTAGAGTAGACACCTCTCCTAAACCAGTAAACAGTGAGAATTCTGGCACTTTATACCCTCTAGGCCATGGATATGCTTGGTCTACCCAATCAGGATATGGCTTTGTGTATGTCGGCCTAATGACAGGACGCACCCCAAAGGCCATCTGATCCTGAACGATTTCCATAATCTGGTTCCTCAACATGACATTGGGATCATATGGAATTCCTACAGGCTGATTAACCGGCTGATTTGCATGAGGTCTGATGTTTGGTCCTTGATTGGCAACAAAATTACCATAATTAGGTCCATTACCGTTAGCTTGGACATCTGTTCCCTCATTACCACGTGGAATATTCTGTCCATTGTTTATGACATTATCTCTCACGTTTGAATTACCCCCCAAGTTAGGCATGCCACTACCATTATTTTGATTTGGCACTGTAGTACCTCCTTGGTTTGAAGTAGAGGGACCATAAAGCGATTCCACCTCTTGATTCGAATTTAGGACAGAGGGATTATGTCCCACAATTGTCCTGGTTTGAAAGTAGTTTGTAAGAGGTATAGCCGGTTAACATATTTGGCCTACTAACTTATTCATTGTTTCGTTTAACGTCTTTAGTTGTTTGGCCATATTGTTATAATGTGCATTTCCATTTTGTGTAAATCTTTCCATATTATGAATACTTCGAAGATTTACCTGTTCAACGACGTCTTGCGTGAGTTCTCCAAGCAATGCACGCATGGTTCGAGGACTCAACTCCGTCATTGGTTCGTAACGACTGTTACTGCTCTGATTTTGTCCATCTGTTCGTGGAGAGGCATGCTGCTCCTCATATTGCTCGATTACAGACTGGATTCCTCCCTGACTTGCTCCTTCCTTGTCGGATCTTTGAGGCATATTGTTTCACCTTTTGTATTTTCAACACCTAACACCACTGTCCCACCGGGCATGCCAAATTGTTTCGCGCGGTTTAAGTCGTTAACAATTAAAAAGGATCAGACGGTTGTGTAAGGGACGAAACCTCTTGATACAAAGTCCCAAAAAGGGGTGTTCTTTTATTGGCGATGAACTTTACAATTGGGAATGAAAAACAACGTGCCTCCAAGGGGCGCAAGCACACGAGTTACAGAAAGAAAAATGTTTAAGTCTAAAAGCTAAGGAAATGAAAATGACATATTCTCTGTTCGAGAGTTTTGGATTCGGTCTTTTGCTTCTGCGTCCTTTCTCCCTTTTATACCTCATAGACGATCTCTTTGTGATTAACTACCCTAAAAACTGTTTGATCGTCCTATAACTACCCACTTTCTTTGTAGTGGCCATTTTGTCATGAAACTGCCTTTTAACTGCTGCCATTATCTTTCATCGTTCAACTGCTTCCGATTAAATTCCTTGAGTCGTGGAACGTGATAAGGCTACTTTAACAACTGCCTTGATAACCGCATTCCTTGATAACCACGATGCGTTATGTTTGTTGATACCTTGGGCGACTTGAAGGTTTGGGCGAGAGTAGAATAACAGTTCTGGGCGACCGTATGACACTCCATTCGTTCAGATTCTGAGCGACTTACAAACTTGGGCGATGGCGTTACCGCATTCTTGGGCCCCTTATTTGGGCTTTCACCTTGATTCGTTCGATTGGACTTCGTTCTTTGGGCTATCCGATTTGGGGATCCTTCAATTGGGCTTTACTCCTTGGGCTGTTCGATTTGGGCTGAATTTTTATGTGTCAACAGCAATCTTACATGCCCCTTCATATGTTGCACATTTCCATGAAGAGGTTTTGTTTAGTGACTTGTATTGTTAGTCTATTCTTCTGCAAAATTGATTCCAAGTGTTCATGCCCCTGTTTGATAAAGTTTTTTTGAGATTATTAACAAGTCAAACTTCATTTTTAACCACATTTCATTGGATCCATAACTATTATCCACCTTTGTCAAGTTTAACGACAAGAGAAATTTATATTACTATCTGCAGTACACAGTATCGAGAACAAGCTTGAAGACTCTTCCCAGATGAGATCTGTTGTGCAGACTTCATTGGCTCTGTGCTCAATCGTTTACATTACAACAAGCTTCTTCGACTCAAACCTTGGCATTCCATATAGTTTGCTAAATGATACAGTTCGCATCTGCTACGTTGTTCACCTCATGTTTGTTTTCCCTATTATATTCCATCCGTTGCGCCTAAATTTGGATGGCCTACTCTTCCCATCTTCCGTGCCTTTGGTTATAAACAATTGTCGATTTGCATTGATCACTATGGGACTACTTTCTGTTGTTTTCTTAGGTGCAAATTTTATTCCCAACATTTGGGATGCTTTTCAGTTCACTGGTGCAAATGCTGCTGTTTGTATTGGATTCATTTTTCCTGCTGCCATTGCTCTAAGGTAAGCGATTCGTTTTCATTATAATCGATAGTAATTTCACATCATTTTCTGTTTTTCGCTGAAACATCAAACATGGACAAGACTGTCATTGGTTTGTGTTGATCAAATCAACGGCGTTTTAGACGCACAGAGAAGCATATCTATCCAGCGCCTCATTGTTACTTTCTTTGCTCTAGGAATGCTTATGGAATAGGTACAAAGAAAGACAAGTTCTTGGCTGTTTCATGATTGGTCTAGCAGTATTTGCAAATTTGGTGGCTATATACAGTGATGCCTACACAACATTCAAGAGAAATGCATCTCCAATGGAGTGATTCGCCTTGAGATGTTGCCATAACAGATCATCAAGAAGTCGCAACTCACAAACTGGTATCATAACGCGAGTAAAAAGGGTGATTGAATGTATAAATTCTTCGATACATGTAAAACTTGGTGCTCAAAAGTTCTTGCTTCAACTTGGCACATTTAGTACATGAATATTTGTCAAGTACTGTGTACCAAACATTCAATTAGATCATAAGTTCTCATTCTGGATAATTAACAATAGAAAAAGAACAAGTTCGACTGAAAGATACCATTTGACTTCTTAAATTCACAAGGCAGAATTATACAGGATAAACCATGACGAGCATGCAATCATTAATTTACTAGAAATTAAATGTAATCAGTAGACAAGAAGAAATCATTTCACCTCTATTAAAAAATTACCCTTTTCTTTATTAATACAAAGCTTTGAGAAAAATAAAATAAAATAAATAGCACCTACAAAATTTCTATAGAACTACATGCATTGCTTTATGTTATACAAAGGTGAGTCGAGCTAACCGGGATAATACCAGTGTTAACAACCAATTCGGCCCTCTCTCCACTGAGATACCAGTTCTTCAAAACTCAACACCCCTTTGGCATCAGTTATGCAACTTGGACAAAGTATCGAAAGAAGTATGTACATAAATCTACGTTGAAGTTTGATTCAAACCCCCATCTTATACACTGCAGATCCTCTATTTCACTCTCAAAATGTTAGTATCAATACCGTGGCATTTGCATGATATGCTCGTTTAGCCATTAAAGCAACTGGTGCACCATCTAGTCCCAAAAGCTGGGGTCCATGACGTGGTCATATATGTCAAGACGTTGGGGAAGAAATTCAATTATCCCAAACACCTTACTGTATGCATCTTTCTGATATATGTACGAAAGAAAACCCGTGATCAATAAACGGGAGCCAATTATAAGAGGGTGTGCTCTTCGTGCTCTTTTGTTCTCAGTCGGCTAAAAGCATAGAAGAACCAAAGTTATTCGGAGATGCAATGACCAAGCGATTTAGAAGTAAGAATTCCTTGAAAAGTAGGCAACATCTGTTCATTTAGTTGAAAAAATAGGGAGATGCCAGGACTTCTCTCAAGTCAAAATCTCCACGTTCTGGCAATGGAGGAAAGTCTAACTTTGGGAAAGACTGCTGAAAACTTTCCAACAACTGTAGAAAAGAAGCAATGATTAGGTATCAAACAAACCTTTACACAGAATTTTAACGAGAAGGCCACTACCACTTCATAATAAACATGTAAAATCGATGTTTCCAACTTTTTAACAAAGAACACTAGTACTAGACAGTAATTTCATTTAAAGATAGAAATTTCAAAGTATTGTCTTAAATCCAATTAAATCATAAAAACATAAGCTAAAATTATTCAGCAAGTACAACAATATAAAAAGAAACTGATCAAGATATAACAAAGCAACACTAAAATCCTCCACCAAAATTTTTTCCTTAGCTCACATGAGAATGATGGGTGAAATACAAAATCGTCACCCTCAGTCAAATCTTTCCTAATTTGGGGGAATCAAGGAAAACAGCTCCATATCTATGATAATTAAGATGATCAGCAATAGTTAGGAATCAAACAGACCTTTAAACAGAATTTTAACGAGAAGGCCACTACTAATTCATAATAAACTACATGTAAAATCTATGTTTCCAACTTTTAACAAAGAAAACTTGTACTAGACAGTAATTTCATTTAAAGATAGCAATTTTAGAGTATCGTCTTAAATCCTATTAAATCATAAAAACATAAGCTAAAATTATTCAGCAAGTACAACAATATAAAAAGAAACCGATCAAGATATAACAAAGCAACACTAAGGGGAGTGTATTCAATTGAGACTTTTAATGACTTTTTGAAATTTAAAAAGTTCAGGGGTATTCAATTAAGACTTTTTGACTCAAAGTCACAGTGTATTCAATTGAGGCTTCTATAGGTTTTTAAAAAGTCTCTAAAAGTTACGTGTATTCAATTAAAACCTTTTAGAAATCTTTATAAGTATTGGAGTGTTTAAATTTTAATGACTTCTAGAGACTTTTATAAAAGTCTCTAGAATATTTTAAGCAAAAAGTACTCATAAAATCTTAAAATTTCTCTCATTAATCATGAGATTTTGGGGGACTTTCACAAAAAAAAAATAAATAAATAAAAAAAAAAAATTTTCTTTCTTTTAACATTCTACGGATATGTATGTTTAAAATTTAATTTTTTATTGATTATATTTCATTATCTTTCTCTCTCTCTCTTTTATTATTTATTTCCATTTTCTGTAAAAAAAATTTTGGATTCTTGTAACTTTCTTTTTCTTTTGTCATTCATTTTTTTGTGTGAAAAATATCTATTTTTTAATTAAATTATAAAAANCAAATGAAAGTTTTCAAAAGTCTTTTGAATTCCCCGAAAGTCTATAAAAGTTTTAAAATGAAAATCCATAGAAGTCTACGAAAGACTTCCACTAATTTTATACAAATCTATAAAAGATCCATGAAATCCATAAAAGTCATAACTTAAAAAAGGTCCATCAAAATTTTCAAAAATCCCAATTGAATAGACCATCCTAAAATCCTCCACCAAAATCTTTTCCTTAGCTCACATGAGAATGATGGGTGAAATATAAAATCCTCACCATCAGTCAAATCTTTCCTAATTTGGGGGAATCAAGGAAAACAGGTCCCATATCTATGATAATTAAGACTGTGTGTGTTGGCAGATGACACTAATCCGTTAGGCAAGGTTGAACTCATGAAACACTTAAAAATGAGTGTTCCCACTGTAATTAGGCTCACTTAGTCTTGAAGAGGACACCATCATCTTAATTCTTGTGGGTTAAGTCCGAGAACCTATAGCGTTGTGTGACTGACGAAAAGGTTACCAAAAAAAAAATAAAAAAAAAATAAGGGAATTCTGTATAGCTCCTGAAAGAACATCCATGTTATATGGAACCTGAAGCTGGACTACTAGGAGCATCTCCAAAAGCCACTTTATTTTAAGAGCATGATATTCCTTTTAAACTTAGTAAATATTTTTTTTACAAAATCCAACGACACTCTTTATATTGGCTCTTCATTTATTTATTTTTTCAATAAACATTTATCGGTTTTCGCTCATCTTTTATTGACTATAATTTTTTACGATCAAATGAGGTGCTAATGGCTAAAATATTCATAGTATTATTTACATGAGCAAAGAAGTTTACTACTGAAACTTGCAATTCATTAAATGCAATTAATATAAAATATAGATAAAGAGTGGGATTAGCTCTCCAGATATAGAGAGCCAAACCCACTCTTTAAAATAAAGAGTTAAAATAGTTTGTGTTGAGGCTTTATTTAAGCATTCACTCTTTAAAATAAAGAATCTCTTAATTCTCTTGGATATATTCTAAGAAACCAAATTTTTGCAGAGTGCACTTATAAGAATACAAAGAGCAAATTAATGAGCTGGTAAGGTGTCATATAGTGAAGAAAAAATGGAAGAGTAGACTACGACAATTTGAATGTATTCAAGAAAGGTCGCCAGATGCATCATCCGAGAAGTGGACGACTAATATTAATAGTTAACCTAGCAGGAAATTGAGATAAAATCATATGAGGAGAAAATCAAAAGCATTTGACGATTGATTGGTTATTCATTTCCTGGTTGACTAGTTAAATGTTATTTAAAGGTCTTCCACACTATACTACATCCATTTCCATCAAACATTATTCTTTCAAGTCAAATAAACAATGGCATAAATGAGGAAAGTAATGCACCATCATTATCTTGCACATGCTCCTGGATCCCCCACCCTTCATTGCAAGTAAAAAGGATGGTACAAGGATGTCAGTTAAATTGGGCTCAGTGATTTAGAGAAACTCACATTCTCCAAAATTGGTGCGTCGTACAGTTCAACAAACTTTTCTCTGAGAATCTTGTTCATTTGTTCTACATCACATGCATGCGTCCAGTATGAATCATGCACTCCTAAAATCAAATTGCAGTAAAAATTAGCAGACATTCCTGCACTAGTGGGTGCGCAAAAAATAAATAAATAAGGAGAATCCTGATGGCAGGAGATAAAGACAATTCCAGAAACCTGCAAAACTTAACCCCGCCTCTTTACAAGCAATGGCAGTCATCATCATATGAGAACCATCGAGGGAATGAACAAAATTTGGAGGAAATGCCGTTCTCTGCCGCTTAACCATCACCTGAGGAAATCAGGTAAAAGATAGCACATGATTATAGCCATTACATGCTTTATTAGCTGTTACATTTTGATTTCTTCTACATTCGTTTTAACTTTTTTTCCTTCATTTCTTCATATATTTTCTCTGCTGTTGTGTTGGTTGTGCATGTGTCACGGGTTGGGTGGATGGGGTGTATAGGGAAGCAAGATTGTAGTAGGAGGGAGACAGCAAAATGAATCATGACACAGCTACACTTCATTATGCCATTCTTGAGATCAGAAATGGAAAAGAATTGGAAGTTACCTTGTCAGTTTCACGTTGGAGGGTCAAAATCTGAAGAGAAGTCTTAATCTGCACCAAAATTAATACCCAATCTTGAATGAGCTATTAAAAGAAAATGACTATATCCTACTGCCGTGGCTACTGCTGCTACTACTACTACTACTACAAAAACAATAATAGTAATAACAGCAACAACAATAATTAAAAAAAAAAATTATGTATTTTTGTTGATGATGATAAAAACAGAGAATAATTCCATAGGTTTAGCCCCTGTTTGGTGTAGATTAAAATCAGGTTTTTAGTAGATTTTGATAAAAGTTACTGGTCCCATAAAATATGCGGTTTAAATTAGTAGTTGACTTTGACTTAGATTAAAATTTGGATTTTAATTTCCACCAAACAGGGGCTAAATGTATGTGAAAGTTACCAGATGTCTTCCTAATTTTCGGTAAGGTTGCACAACAGGGAGCCCAAGTGGTGTAGTCCAGCGTACTGGTTCATTCTTCATAGCTATAATCTAAAAAGGTGGAGAAAGAAGATTTAAAAAAAAAACGAAAAGAAAAATGAAACATAAAGAATTATGACGCAAGGATGAGATAATGAACAGGAGGGTAGAATGAAATGTAGAATAGAAATAAAACAAATATGAGATGGTATACAGTAGAAGTCCCTATGTCAACTAATCAAGTATCATTCCATGGTGAGTATTTATACATTGAAATTCCTACTGTTGCCCAAAAGGGCCAGGTAGGTTGATGATAGTCTTTACAAATGAAGGTTTTTAAATGTGCAGGTTAATTTGGTGTATTGCCAAACGTTCTATCATGCAAATTTCTTCTCTGCACTCCATAGTAGTTTATCTCATTCCTTCTGCCCATCTTCTATTCTCTGTCCTTTCATAAAACACACCAGGGTTTTTTAATTTCCAATTCTCAGCCACCACCTACGATGTCTGACCCAGTTTAGCTGAATAGCACAATCAAGATTGAGAAATTCAGAAATTGGTAACTATTAACCTTATGATTGCTTCATAATAATGTTACCTTAAAGAATTTTGCATTTCATAATTTTCCAGATAACTTTGGCACTTATCATGTGTAAAATCTAATAAGTACAAACGTCGAACTAGGTGATCTGAAGAAACCTACCCACACAGTGACAAAAACTCAGATTCACATAATGCAATGTAGATTCCGTTCTTGAAGTGGATGTATCCACATTCTAGGCAATTCTAGCTTTGCCTATTTATACTAGTACTTGATCTTAGACAGGTTCAGATAATATGATGTTAGTGGGGATTTGTCAGCAGTACGCATAATTGTATGTAGACAAAAACATCCTAGGATCAAAAGAAACAGACCATGAAATATTGACTTGATAAAATCAGCTAGAAAATCATGTACCTCTAAAGATAGTACATCCGGAAACGAAGACATATTTGCATCAAGTAGCTATCACATTTAAAATGGGTTTTTATGTAAATAATTCCATATATTAGAATGAAACATACCTTTGCACAGTCTCCAAGCCAACTCATGATGCTCCGTGCAGCTTCAAACATCTCACCTAAGGCGATCAAGGTTGTCTGCTCAAGGGGTGAAAAAACAATTAGCTTAAACCTTCCTAAGTCACATGTTGAATATGTGTGCAGAATCGAACTGATGCTTCATAACTCTCAACATCATATGAAACACATATATGCCATACGAAATGCTACAAGATTAATTTTCTTATAGTTCGAAAGGAAACTTGGCAAAAATAAATATACCTATATGCTCTTACCTTTGCTGCATAGCAAGCTGCAGAAAACAACTCTGTGTCATCCTCAATAGCACCACGCTCCTTTAACCTCTTCTTGATCTGATCCCTTGCACCTATATAAGTGACACCATATACTGATGTCATCACTGTTTGCTTGACTAATTTCCGGTCCACCTGAAAATAAAGAACTAAGAACTTAGATTGTAACAACATAAAAGGAAATACACAGCTATTAGTATGGCAGCATGCTACTCAATGCGTCCATAGTTCAAGGATATAAAGGCCAAACAAATTAAATAACTTTTATATTCATAACAAAGCATAAACAGCAACAGCAAAAAGCCATTTTCATACTACCAGAAAAAATGCATGAAATACAATGAAACCTGCTTAATTAACAGTCTAGCACGCATAACATTGGGATCAGTTGCAGGGTCTTTTGCAGCATCCCTCTTCATGATGTCAAGAACTCTGCATTAGAAACAGTCGGTAATGAATCCTACTACATTCGGACAGCAGGACATGAATGTGTATAAAGATAGATTTAAAGTATTTATACTGCTTGAGCATTAATGCAACCCATAAATGACAATAATTGTCTCCAGTAAGATCAAGAGGCAGATCTCAGGAATTATTTCCTTCATATTGAAATAAATAACTGAATTAAACTGGTTTAATCTTACAGATCTACAAGTTATTTACTGGATTATAACTAGACATAATGAAGTCTGTGCCAATCTAAATGTTTATTCAATTTACTGTCCTGGTCAATTTTTTATTTTATTTGTTTACTAACTTACTTATTTCAGGGTGGGAGTAAAACAAAGAAAAAATGATATTATAAATCATGGTCACAGCTTACCTAGAAGCGATTCCTGAGTAAACATCTGCGGGTTTATCTCCCACAACAAGATTGACGGCAGCTGCTCCCAACTGGAGTTATATAACAATATGTTACGTTGATGTGAAACAATTTCTATTATTTTTTTCAACTTAAAATGTTACAAATTCAGAATAACTACATAAAAATAACAAAAATCTAAGTAATGAAATACTATGACCAGGCGAAAATTAAATCAGTTGGGAGTCTATAATTCTTATTGCTTAGTCCTCTCAGCTTTACACCATTCAGATATGTAGGTAACCACCTTGGAAGATCGGGCATAAACAAACCTTTACATATAGTATATAAAAAATAGGCACGTTCCTGTTACACGTCTACATTGAAAGCCTTCATAGATACGCAGAAACATAGTTAAATAATTGTAGTACATTACCTTGTCCCTTCCAAGGGCAGCATAGTGTTGCAAGCCATTACATGAGCCATCCTTCACAACAAAAATAGCAAATGACACATTCAGGTTCACTTCTTTACAATGTAATTAATGACCAAAAACCTTCGACAAACAGAATGGTATAAATATATTCTAAAGCAAGGGTGAGTATCACTTTCCAGATGAAATATTAAATGTAGGTCTTGGATGATCATTTAGAATGTATTGACGCAATGACGTAGATTGTCTGGCATGTGTAAATGGCATGACCACCTAATAGACAAGTTTACCTATTTACAGAAATATGAAAACAAATACCATGCAACATATCCATCCTGTTTCATACGGTCTTAAACCTATCTGATGAGTTCCCCATCCCCTCCTTCCCTTTTCCCGTGGGAGAAAAATAGAAAAAGAAAAAGAAAAGAAATAAAGGAAAAGAGAAGGATTTAGAAAAATGATATAGTAACACATGCTTGAACAGTTTTACCAAAAATTAAGGTGACCATACAGCTGAGGGATTTGATCAATTTCTTACCTGATGGACAGGCATATGAGATATGGTAGTCTCTGGAGATGGGCTTCTTAATGATTCAGATAGGTTCATACATGTTGCTAAGCATTGAAAAGGATCCTCTGCACCTAACCACCAGCGCTTCCCCTCAAGGGGCCTATCTGCAGAATCAAAGATATCTTCCAGATGGTTTTCAGCAAATGCTATTCGCCCTTCATAAGATAATTTGTCCACACCGCCACCATATAAATTTGCTAAATGTATCTTCAACCATCGTAAGCCTGATTTGCCAAGTGGGCGTCCTTCAGCAAATTCTAGGATTCCTCGGCAGAGGTCAGATCCAAGATGATTCAAGTATGGGTGCATGGGGTATGCACGCCCGCGGAAATCTAAATTGTGAGGGTAATAAAAGCTATCCTCATCCTTCATTTTTCTAGCAACCTGCTCTATCAAGAAGAACAATTAATGATGATTAAGAAAAACATCTCAAGTGCCATTAAATTGAATGAAAAATGCTACTCACAGCAAGTTTGAGTTCTATATCACATCGCTGTGAATGCCTTTCACTATTCTCCTTTTTTGCAGCTTTAACTTTCCACTTCCATTTCCTGATTTCTGCTTCATCTTCCGTATCTGGCTCCTCTGGTAAAGGAACCTGAATTGCATCGCATTAGGGAAAAGTTGAAGACTAAAGTATAAGAAGATAAACAGCAGAAATAGAATAGAAGATCCTCAAGATAAAAAGAATCCAAAAAACCTCAAGGTCTGAATGAGTGATGGTTTAAAAGGAGAAAGATGAGGAAAGAAATTGAAGCCAATGAAATCTCATATTTGTGAATGTTACTCACATCTTCACGGTCAACCAAGTCAGCAAGTTGACCGCCACTAGCCCAGATTCTGTCAATGACCGCTAGTATTCTTTTATTCACCTTCCATTTGGTAGTTCCAAGTGTATTAAGTGCCTGTTGTGAGGGAAAAATAAGAAGCAATGTTATTGTAGGAAACAGAAATAAATTGCTTTAATATCCACAGTAGTAGAAAAATAATATGCAAAAGGCGATCTGCCTTGCCATTACAATCCAAATTACACAACAAAATCATAATTTAGTGAATGCTGAAGCATGAAGTCCAAGGTTATCTAACCTCGAAAACAGGTTCTAACTGCTTTCTTGGAACTCTTTTAACTGCTTCACGTTGTTGTTTTGCCCCATGTGTACGCATGATGTAAGATGGAAGGAACAAATAGGCACCCCTATCGTACCTGCCAACATTATGGTAACTTATCTAAACTAGGCATGATAGTTTAGGGATTCAAACTAAAACAACTAATTCAAATTAAAAGTTCTGTGACATGCATCCATGTGGCAGCTTCATTCTTATATATCCTAAAAACTTGCATGGAAAACAATGAAGGGATGCTGTTCAAATAGGTTTCTACATTGCAGTATGGAGAAGGGAAAATTCAATTGAGACCATTTCATAGCATGTTGTCACTCAAACCAAAGTCCATCAGACACTGACACATCACTCAAAACATTCCATCAGCCATCAATCCACCATCATCCCACTGCCACAACCTCCCTCACAATCACCTGCAAACCAAACATTGACTCCTTGCTTGGATATGCTGTTTGGATTCGAGTAGGTGGAAGTTGAGGCATGGAAAACGGAGGGGAGTGGTTTGGCAGATATTGGAGAAGAGGAAAGGAATTGAGTGGTGGTGAAAGTTCGGGTGGAGACAGGTAGTGGTGGAAGTTGGTAGAAAGGGTCACATGTTTGTTGCAGAAGGCTGGATAAGGAGGCAAGTGATGGTGTAGAAGATCAGCAATGGTGCTATTGGTGGAGTAGGATGCAACAAATCCTGGGGAAAAGTGTTGGTAAATTTATACCATCCATTAGTTCATATGTAACGACAAGTTGAACCAAAACACAACACTTTTTTCTTACTAGGTGTGATCTGTAGAACAAAGATCCAATTTTTTAGGAATTCAGGAAAGTGGCAGCGGGGACGAATTGGGGGAAGGTGACAGCTGATAGACGGAGATCATGGACAGCGCTGTCATTTTATCTTATCCACAATCTCAGGGCCTACTCTTGGGATTCTATAATCAGCTAGATAGCAGATCCTCAGACCTGTCTGATTACTGACCCATGTAAAAAACAAAAGTGCTAATTATTCTTGCACCAACCCACAAGTCAAACAAAGGCTCAGGATACAAATTATCAATGATCTCAATTGGTGCAAGTAACATTCCAAGAATATTTGGAATCTATTACAATTACAGCTGGAGGGAAGATCCAAACTCAAAATCAATTTGTCAGAATTAGAGTCTAGAACTCGCCTAGGATATCTCACCCCTAAGTTCATTTGCCCTTTTTACATTTATTTATGCGATGGGGTAGTCTTTAACTAATAAATATTAGGCCACGGCAGTGCATTATTCTCCTTGTGCGATTATGTATATTGTGCAGCAGCCTGTTTCAAGGCTCTGAAAGCAACAAAACATTATCATCTATACAAATCTTAAATATCAGCTGTCAGAAAAGTACAATGATGGTACTAGCCCTGATACCTCAAAACACCTTCTCTGATTCTGCTATAGTAAAATATCTGATTTAGCCTAGAAACTTCAATGATAGTCATTATATAATCATCAAATCACACCCTCCTTTATTGACCTTAGCCACAATTATAACAAACTAATGGATAAAAACAGTTAAAAACATCATGGTGCTGAAATTAAAAGATCCAGAACATCAAGATGGACAAGAGACTTCAAAAAATGGCATGGTGCACAGAGATTCTGATTTACCTTCATTGACCTATTAGAGAGTGGAAAATTAGTTTTGGTATTATTTCCTCTTCAAGTATTACAGGATCAGGACCAGTAGTAATAAGTACGGATTAAAGCTGGAAATTTCTAGATGGCAACCTCTTCATGATGTATGATAAATTAAGCAACAATGAAAGAATATATTTCTTCCTTCAAGTTGAATTTGGTATTATAGAGGCACACTTTGCACAATCCATAAGGCATGCTGTGGCTCGACATTGGTTTGCCTTCCCTAGTGCATAATGTTTTTTATTATTCATTCCCTCATTCTTTACCACAAAAACAAAGAGAGAAAGAAATCAATGTGCAAACTTCCTCGAGCCACAACTCTATCTGAAGCTCTCATCTGATCATTCTAATTGATTAAGCAGTAGAAAAACTCAGAGCTGTGCTCTTATTGTCAGAGAGCCTCACCAGCCTTTCTTGGAGATTTACACGTCACGGGACATGTCTTTTGAAAGGCAAAAAAGAAACAAAAAACATGGATAACACTTGTATACATTACCAAAAACAATAAAAAATATGATGATGAATCCAGAGTACCATACCCTGTCCAGTTTAGAGGAGGAACCAACATTGGCATGTATGGAATCACCATATGCCTAGCCTGTGTGGATTAAAGAAAAAACAATTCTCAAACACACACAAACCCAAAAAGAAGAAAACAAGAAAACACTGTTGGTGGAAAACTACAATAGTTAGTAAAGTTCAGTAAATAGGAGCTGTGCTTACAGTTCTTTCCAGGCCTTTGCGAACTAGAGGGTCACACTCAATCACTCCATATCTCCTGCTGCCTCTCCTATAATATAATACATAAACCACAAGAAACATATCCAGTGTAAAGTGTAAGCATTTGCAAGAGGAAAAGGATAAGAGAAGGTTCAGGGAGGAGCACTTGTGGTTGTACTCACTGCGTTTCCACAGTTTTAAGTGAGTGCACAAATGCAGGTCGAATATCAGGTGGTCCATCTTCTAACTGATCGACTGGAGGTTGAATATGGGCTGTTTCCGTTAATATCTGAATCAAACGGCAGCCAACCTGAACATTACATTATGTTAGTGTAATTCCCATGCTATTTGCAACAAGTGATTTGGAAATAACCATAAGTAATGTTGGTGGAATTGCTAACTCGAGAGAAGGAGAGAGGCCGTAGGCCAACTTCACAAACTACAAACCTTTACTTGAGCATCCTGGCCCCAGGGCATTAAATCATCTTGTTGTTTCACTATTTTCCTAACTTGGTGCAATTTTTGTTTCTTCATGAAAATATTGACCTTCTTTCTCAGTCTCTCCACCTCCTTCACTGCAGGATCAGGTTCTTCTTCAGAACCTTTATATAATGCATTCTTCTTCTTGGTCTTCTCCAAAAATCTGTGTATTCTGGCCTGATTAAGAAGGATAGTACAGTTATTGAACTCTCGTGCGCAAATAAGCAGTCAGAATAAGATAAGTAGAGAAAATTTAATTATAGAAATTGGCTCTTATGCAAAAAAAAACAGAAAGCGTAGAATTTATTATAGCAGGTACATCTTCATTATAACATATGATTTAATCTACACATGTAGTGGAGTTTAACTAAATATAAAGTGAACACAAAGTTTTCTAACCCAAAATGGACTTCACTTGGAAATATCCAGCCAATCTCAGAACACCATCTCCAATACTAAGATGCATTAAATTGTCCTAACTTCCATTTAAAAATCCACCATCTTATAAACAATTACTTTATGACGGAAGAAACATCTCAAAACCTCGCCCCTCAATCCCCTCAACAACCCATAGAATATGAGATCACCTCATCTTACTAGCGATCTGTCTACAGTCAGACAGCGAGTTTGGTGTCAGTCCCGAAGCTGCAAACACCTCAGCCAGGATATCAGAATTCGGTGATAGCTAGTACTTATTAGTCTTCCCAGCATTCCTTTTTCGTTTCTTTTAAATTGGCCACCATTGGTGAATTACAGACGCAGATTCAATTCAAGTTTCTAAACCACTATTCTGAGATAATCCTGACACAGAAACATAGATGAGGAAATTGGCTTCTAATATGCAAAGTTTCCAATGGCTAAACTGATCACATAAAACTAAAAGCTTAAGCTATTAGAGAGGGACATATTTATTTAGGAAGCGTTTGTTTTCCATTTTTGTAAAAATGAGAATGAAAAATATAGCCATTGTGGGCTCACGTAAGATATAGAAATTCAAAATTGGTGGCTTGATATAATGGATAACGGTAATATTTTTCATTTTAATGAAGAAAGAATGAAAAACAAACAGGGGCTTAGTTAAATTTTGCTTCAACGTGCCCCTCCCATGTAGACTAAATTCATGTTTTCATGAAATAAGTGATATCTGCACAATTTTCATTAAATTCAAACTCAAAACCTTTGGCCACTTCAATACCATGTTAAAAAATTTCATTTAAAAGATTGAGCTTTTAGATGAAGCTTTCCATCAACAAGAGGACCATATCAATCTTCTCACTTGGATAAAAAGATAATCTTTGACCTCTATAGGCTATAGCTCATTGACTTGCTTACAAAAAGGGTTTACTTATCACCAAGGTGGTGAAAGCATGAAAGGCAATTACTAAGTTTCTTTTCTGCTCAAACTCATTGTAGAAGCCAAAAAAGAAGATTCTCAAGTATGCAACTTCTAAAGCAAGAACTTAGTTAACACCAATAACGAAACTGGGTAATTTTAAACAAGAGCTAATTAACACAACATATTTATTAATTTTCTGTTTAGACAGATATCCGTTCATATTATCCTGCAAAAAGAAATTTAAACCATAACTCTTAACTTTTTATCCGTACTTTTTAAGTCCTCGTCAATCAATGTTCAACTTCATACATGTCAGAAATAATTCCAACATCCCTATAAAAAGAAGAAATAATTCCAACATCAAGGTGAATAAAATTAAAAACTATGTGACAGAAAACTGAGATGAACACTCGAGAAGCCAACCTCTTGCTCAATGGCTTCGCCAATATGACATGCGGCTTGCACTACCCTAGCACTGCCATTGCCTCCACCAGTCATTAACAGCGCCATCATCTTATGCATAGTAATAACCGCCATCATACCTGCAGGCAAGAGATCAAAATGTGGAGCATAAGCCTTCCGGTGTTTCCCTTCCTTACACAACTCCTGTTCAGCAGCAATGGCATCTCTTAACGGCTCAAACCACCCCAAGAACAATGACTTCACGTATGGCAAATTGGGAGCCAATTTTTGCTCACACATGTCTACTAAAAGCTCTTGATACTCTTTTGCAGCCTCTTCCCACGCCTCAGTCTCCAACTTTATTTGCCTCCTTCTAAGAACGTTGTACTTCGCTACACCCATTCCTCCCACTATTTTAGGCTGCTTTTGCTTCCCTTTCTCCTGAATCTCTTTATTCAATTCATCTACCAATTCTTGAATTTCATCAATATCTTCTTCGGAAGTTGATGCTATAGCCTCGGCTGCTGTGCCATAATCCCTTGAACTCAAAGCAAATCCAAGAGGGTCACTAGAAATCCCAAAATTGTGACGGTCCATTTTCCTGTTTTGCCAAAAAGAATAATCTCGAGAAAAACCCAGTTCTTGGTTTTGAGTGTTTACATAGTCTTTCAATTCAAGTGGCGAGGACCTTTCAACAAAAATTGAATATTGGTTGGATCTTACAGAACAAAAAACAGGGAAAGAAGAATGGGATTCAGAAGAAAAATTGAATTTTCTTAAACAAGATTGTTTGGATAAACTTCTCCACATATTTCAGCAGATTTATTAATTAATTAACAGTAAACTAACACTGATTCAATAAGTAAAACAGACCAAAACAGGTTATGAAAAATTTAACAGCGTAGATTATTGAGCATAAAATTAAAGGAAAAATTGGGGGAAAAGAAACAAAAAGATGGGAAGCAAATGTGAGCAAGAACCAGAAATACAGCCGCCTTAAACCCTGCTAAAAACCTCTCAGGTTGTTCCTTTCCTGAAGACGAGAGCAATAAAAATAAAAGGCCCATAGTTTGAACCCAGATTAGCAGATGGATCAACCCGAAAAGCTTACACTGGGCCCATTTTTCTTCACGCCAATTAGTCCAAGGAAAAATTTCAAAAATAAGATAAGTATTGCCTATTTCAAAAATAAGAATAGAGGTTTGAACTTTCAAAAATCAGATATTTAATAAAATATATTTATTGTTTAGTAAATTAATTATATATTTTATTAATTAGCTATATTCAGGTCACATATCTTGCAATTTGGTCACAGATTTCACAATTTATTTGGTCACATATTATTTTTCGATCACAAATCATAATTTTGAAATGTCACAAATTATTTTACGATCTCAATTCAAAAATTTTATAGGTCACAATTTTTTCGTCGATCACAAATCAAAAATTAATACGTCAAAATTGTCACAGATTACAAATATTATAGGTCACATCTTATTAAACGGTCACAAAATTAATATTTTTTATGTCACACATTATTTTTTAATTTTTTTATTACAATTTATCTTTTTCATTAATCACATATTATTTATTAATCACAGATTAACCAAGGTCACACATTATTTTTTAATTTTTTATCACAATTTATCTTTTTCGTTGGCACATATTATTTATTAGTCACAAATTAACCAATTTAATGGTCACAATCAACAAAATAATCTGTGACCACTATCAAGACTGACGACAACTACCGCCTCCAACCGTACCACCACCACTGTTGCTGCCATCACCACCACCACACGAGAGCAACGTTGAAAAAATAAACCACCAAATAGCGTCACCCATGCCATCCCACCCACAAACCACCATCACAACCGCCATCACCACCGTCGACCACCACCAACACTTGCGGCAACCACTGGCTCTAACAGCACCACTGCCACTGTCGTCGCCAAAACCACCACCACAGATCCACCATCATCACCACAACCCAACATCGTACCGCAATCGCCATCAACCCCACACCTCACCAGATTCGCCACCGCAGCCCACCATTAAACATCACATATCGCTAGAGCCACCGTCCAACAACCATTAAGAAAAAAAAAACACCGCAACTACCATTAACCACTGCACCTCACCGCCAGATCCACCACCACAACCCATCGTCAAACACCACCTATCGTTAGAGCCATCATCCAACAACCATTTCCCAAAAAATAATAATAATAATAAACCATCGACCTGCGACCTGCAGTGACGCTGCTTAAGAAGCCGCTACAACCATGCTCTAGTGTTCCCCCTTCGACACTGCAAGCGGAACCAAGAAACGGAGCTCGCAGGGAAGCCGCCGCTGCAAGCGAAGCACGGATGCATCGCGAGATCAACACGAGGACGACGATCTGCTTTATCTGGCCGGCGATTCACGCTTCTTCTAGCTGGCGACGCCGTGAATTACTGTTGTGTGAGGGAGAGAAGGTGAAGAGACGGAGAACACAGGCGATTGGGAAGAGTGATAGGAGAAGATGACGAGAGAGAGAAAATGGTCGATTTTGGGATAAAAAAATGTTTATTTAATATTAATATTTAAATATGCTATATCTGATTTTTGAAGGATTAAAGTTTCCATCTGATTTCAGAATTCATGATTTTAATGATAAGGTTTTGTGTCCAATGTGAATGAACTTTGGCAATTTAAAAAAAAATCCTTAAAATTAGAAGTCTTTTGAAAAATCATATGAATTTTTTTTTTTGAAATTATAAAATACTGTGTGATATTAAAAAGTGACGCATAAAATTTGTCACTTTTTATTAAAAAAAAAAGTGACATCATGTCACTTTTAAAAGTTAGGTGTCACTTTATTATTAAAAATAACATATAATATCACTTTTATTAAAAACTGATGTTTGTCAATAAAAAAAAAGCGATAAGAATTAAGAAGGTGACTGAAAAAATTGACAGTTTTTTTTTTAAAAAAAAATCAAATACTGAAAAAGTGATAGAAACTTTTAAAAGTGATGAATTCAAAAAAGTGACATAAATTTAAAAAAAAAGTTACACAAATAAAAAAAAGTGACAAACACTCGAAAAGTAATAAAATTCCAAAAAAGTGACAAGCACTCAATGGCACTTTTATTAAAAAAATTGATGCTTGTCACTCAAAAATTAGAAATTAACTGTAACGTCGCAATCTTATTTCTCGTGATTATCATGTCTATCTGGATTAATTACCTTAATGCTATATTTGCTACTTAATTTTAATATAATTATTTTCATCTTGACTAACTATACAATGGAATGTGATTGGAACGCTTCGACAAACGACATGGTTATTAATTTAAATTTAATGTGCTTATTATTTTAACTCTTGTTTGAGCTCCATTCTTTTGAAAAAATGTATTTTTCAACAGTATATTAATATCATTTCAATCACACATTTTTCAATAAAATAATATTACACGTAAATCTTAAATTTTTCTTTATTTTTTAAACACACATTCCCATCAATATACTATTCAAAATTTCAATTTTTTCCCAAGAATGGGGCTCAAACAAGGGCTTAGTAAGTATCAAATAAATTATACAATAGATTTATTTTATTATGTGCAATCTTCCTTTAGAATTTGTACATAGATATCGAGTTAGAATAATTTTTTCCCCAATAAGCGTATATTTCATAAATGTAATTCAAATATTATAATTGGACCACATAATGGAAATTTAACAAATCAATGTGACCAAATTAAGTCTGAAATAATTTAATAAGAATAAATTAGGGGTCCAATAGTTAACTAATGGAAATCATACCGAATAAAGCGTCCTTATGTTTAGTAGTCAAGGTTTTTACCTTATCTAATTGTTACACCTCCTTATTATTAGGTGACTTTTTCCAATACCAAAGATGTACCTGCTTTTCCACTTTCTGGATCGAATACTGCTCCATGAATTAAGGTTGGAATTATAATTTATTTTGGTTTCATTCTAATGTTTAATAACATGATTATGCCTACTGCAAATTCTTTGTTTAATTGTTTGAATATGGGCCTGTTATAGCATTTGATTCACACACTTATACACACGAGTTTTCCCTTAGAATTATTTTATTTTAGTGATAAGAGGGACGAAAATTATTCATTTCATGTTAAAAGTTCAAGGTTAATTTTCTCGAAATGGTGCAGTTATATTTCATAAAGTATAACTATTAGATCAAGTGGATGTTTTATGATCAAAATAGGTGACTGGAAATTGTGTCATTAATCATTTTCTGCAGTAGCCAATGTATGTATTGTTGCTTAATGAGTTACTTATAGAAATGAGATTGTTATGAATAAATAATTTTTCAAAAGTTAACTGCCGGTAAAATGCATTCACTAGTTAATAAGAAATACCATTTGACTTTTTTTCTTTATTCTTTTTTTTTTTTTATGGGCTTCAAACATTTATGCATTGAGACACTTTAGACCTAGAGTTATAAATGGTTCATCAATAATCATATGGAAATTGGAGTTTGACATAGCATACAAGTTTACCTTATATCCCTAAACATCTAGAAAGTGTAGTTTACTGCAAAACAATACAAGCTTTACATTTTTAATTAAGTGTCATCTAAAACTGAGATTAGAAACTAAATGCTCATCTTGAGGGATATTTACTATGCACTTCCCTTTTGGGGACATAAATTATGTGTCGGTATTTCTTTCCAGCTACTAATACGTATAAATAAATAAAAATTTGAATATGTTGAAATTCCTAAATAAAATGGTAATGACTTAGGGTTCTTCGCACGTTGATCTCATTGGCGTCTCCACCTACTATCTAAGAAGTAATATGTTAGAAATTTCAAGTAAGTAAACCTCTTTTGTCTTCATGCATACGTTGCATCGTTAAATGTAAAAATATGTTAGGAATTTCAAGTAAGTAAACCTGCTTTTTTTTTTTTTTTTTAAATGGGCTTCAAACATTTATGTAGTAAGACACTTTAGACCTAGAATTATAAATGGTTCAACAATAATCATATGGAAATTGGAGTTTGACATAGCATAGAAGTTTACCTTATATCCCTAAACATCTAGAAATTGTAGTTTACTGCAAAACAATACAAGCTTTACATTTTTAATTAAGTGTCCTCTAAAATAGAGATTAGAAAATAAATGCTCATCTTGAGGGCTATTTAGTGTGCACTTCCTTTTTGGGGACATAAATTATGTGTCATTATTTTTTTCCAACTAGTAATACATATAAATAAATAAAATTTTGAATATGTTGAAATTCCAAAATAAAATGGTAATGACTTAGGGTTCTTGGTACGTTGATCTCATTGGCGTCTCCACCTACTATCTAAGAAGTAATATGTTAGGAATTGCAAATAAGTAAACCTCTTTTGTCTTCATGCATACGTTACATCGTTAAATGTAAAAATATATTACCAAAATTTGTTATTATGTGAACTTGATATTTAATTATTACGTTTTATATCATTAATACTTTTCATGATATATTCATGCACCTCAATGTATTCATGAGCAGACTTGAAGTTTCAAGAAAAATAAAAGTTTTCAACTGTCAAGGAGTCACTAAATGTTTTAAAAAAAATGTATCCCAAATATTTTGTTACGAGATGTATGTTTATATCATGAAAGGTGTGAGTGGAAAATGGGGTGTGGGGGATTGGCGCACCTGACCAATATTCAATAATAATGTTAATGTTAATCGCTCTGCGGTGCTATTGTTGGAATTCGACTGGATTTCAAATAATAATTGCTCACCACATTCTGATTGGTTAGGCGATACACAAAGTGAACTCACTGTAACGCCCCAAATCCACTACATTTTTCTTCTTAAAAGATTTGAAGTGCTACCAAAATCGTTCTTTTATAATTTAAGCAGAATTTAACACTAATGTATAAATTTTGGTATTTGATTGATGAGTCAATAATGTGAATTCAACAATTCAAAATAAAATTTTGAATTTTATCTAGCTTAAAATGCTACGAATTAAATTGTCAATTTAACATGTTAAATAGCTTAAATGTCGAAACTACTAAAATAACATGCATGAAATTAAATATAAAATTAATCTTAAAATAGAAATTGGCAATAATCATTTCAAAAACTTTTACTTGGCGATCCTATAAGC